CCAGCCTGTTAGAACTGTGCTTGAAAAGCCACTGGCAGGGCTGGCCTGTGACACCCCCAGGCGGCCTTTAAAAACCATCAGGGATATAGAGGAACACTGTGAAGTGCTTGTGGTTCTCCTAGCCATTAAAGTAAGCCGTGTCTGGTGGGACCGAGTCTTCCTGTGGCTTTTTGCTTTGGGTCAGTCCTGTTACAGTTTACTGGCTTGGTTTGTTTTTGTTTGCTTGTTTGTTTGTTTCTGTCCCATTTGGTCATAGTGAGCAAGAGTAGTCACACTGGGTGGACGGTCAGAATGTGTTTGGAAGCTTTATGGACCGAGGCTGGGGAAACTGATGGGGACTCGTGAAGGGTCAGCTCGCACAGCTGTGCAACCTAACACTGCCCACTTGAGTCTCTAAGCCCGAGATGCTGGATTTAGACGGGTAAGTGCCCGTCTCCAGCTGTGGAAACAGGCGGCCGGGAACAGACTTCGGCCTTTTCTGCTTGTCTTTCTTGCTCTCCTCCTGTCAGTGAAATGAAGTACGGAAAGACAGCTGCTCGTGCCACCGGCCTGGTGACTGCAGCTTCCCTAGATTGCCTCGGGATGAAGAGTTTAACCAGTTCTGTGTCTCGCCCATTGTCCTGAGCCACGGAGCCCTGGCTGAAAGTCGAAGTTGGACTCCACCCCCACCCCGAGTGTCACGAGCTAATCAGTGTAAAGATGCAACACTGAATTAATTCACTGGGGACTCTGTGTGTGTGCTTCACTTAAATTATTACTTTGTGCTCAGAAATTATATATCCATGTAAATAAATTGTCACCTTCCCATCTTGGGGGTTTTGCTGTTGCAAAGGAATAATGAGATGCGGAATGCCAATATTGCATTCTTCTCAGTCTTAAATCATTATTGAAAAATGTTTTCCTTCTGTGAGCCCCTGTTATTTTTTTCATGATCCCTTACCTTCCTATTAGGGCGTTGGCCAAATGCTTGATCGTGGTCTGAGCCAATATCATTTCTTACCCAACAGAACAAACATCGGTAGCATTTGACGATTAGAAAACACATGGCCTTGGAATCTATTTTAACTCAGAGTGATGCCGTGGGGCAGAGTAGAACTATGTCTATTGGATTTCCCAGGCGGAAATCTTTATGGAAGCCGACTGCCATGTCCCTTCCCCTGGAGTGGCTGGCGGGTTTGAACTGCCGCCCCTTTGGTCAACAACCAAGTGCTTAACTAGTTCACCACCAGGGCTCCCTTTGAGATGGTAGAAGATTGATTCTCTACCCCCGCAAGAAGTATCATCAGGCCGGTTGTGTAAGCTTTCTTGGGCGGATCAGTTCCATGCTGACCACAGACCAGCTAACTTCTATCATCAAAATGCATTCCCTAAAGGTTTAATGACTGTCCACATTATAACTCACTTGGCAGTTCTGATGATGGGACCAAATGGACTTCTAAAATTAAAATCCCCTGTGCCTTGAAGTTTCTCGTGTGACTAGAAAACACAGGGACCCCATGAAAGATTGTGCGCACCTCCTTTCAAGGGCTTGTCCAATGGCACCAGGTCTCTTGTCCAGGAAACACGTGTCTACACTATGTGGCTGAACATGAAATCGGACATTCCAGACAAAGTGAGTGCAGTTTAGTGAGAGGTAGTTTTCATTTTCTTAGCCATATTTTCTTGAACACTGACAAACATTACTAGATTTTGATATGAAGCTTGTTTGCTTATGTATTTCTTCTAGAAGGTCCTTTTCTTTAGGAAACAAAGCCTGTCACAGACTGTCCCAAAGCTACCCAAACGGCCCATGCCATTCCGCAGCTCTGCAGTGGTTCCCATGGGCAAGGGTGTTAATGTAGGCAGCTGCTGCCCCGGCCTTTTTTATCTTGAGGGGAAACATGCACTCGGACGTCTACAGCCTGGCTCTCACCAGCTCGCCCCATGTTTCAAATATCTCGCTTTGGTCAGAGGGCATTTCATTATTCCTGTGCATGAAACCTTCACCAGACGGATTCCAGTCCGGTTCTTGAATGACGTCTAATGTCTCCCTCGACTGGGGAGAACACCACTCAGGATTCCTTTGACAAACAGGCTCATATTTCCTAGGCTCTGCCTGGGGTCTGGTGACAAGGCTGAGTTGTTAGTGCTTTAGCTGTCCGTGCCTTCCCAGCATCCTGGGAGGACCAAATCGCCGCTGCAACACGGCTCCAAAACCTGCAGACCAGCTGGGTTCCTATGAAAAATAAAGGGGGACCTCTTGCAGCAAGCGCTCTTCAGCCAAATCTAATACCCTCCGGAGAGAAGACGGGGTTCTCATTGCCATCACCACCATGTGTTAGACGTTTTAGAGGGCTGACAAGACGCTGTGGCAAAATTAGTAGTCTCTTAACGAAGAGCGGAGTTGACGTCTTAAATTTGTGTTCATGTTAACTTTGTTTGGTTTATGAACCTCTGTATTGGAACCAACTGTATTGGAGCTACCTCGGGAAAGTTTGGAATCTCACCAGTATTTATGCCCTCTTTCTTGTGATTTTGTACATAGTCGCTGCCAGGCTCTGCGTTTCACAAGCCTGAGAAAGCCAACTTTTAAATCCCATTAATGTCATTAAGCATTTGTTCAAGTCCACTCTGTATATAGCATTACACTTACACTCACGACTTGGAAAGTTTCGGAGTTAATCTCAATTTCTTGCTGACACAGAGTTTCTAACATAAACAGAGGAAGCAGGTCCCGTCGGGAACAAAAACATGAATTCTAGCACCTGCCACATTTACTGGGAGGGGAGGGAGTGTCCTGGGTCTCTGACCTTTCCTTAGTGCCCGGTGGTAGACACACACTTCACAAAAGTAGCACAATGGTCCTTTGCGGTTACACTCGTGTTCTGGTGGATCACCAAGGAGCTGTGGAAATCACTTTAATTTGAGAATTTTAATTTGAGTCTCTTTTAGAAAAGATGACTTTAACCACGCAAAGAAAGGTCACCATTAGTAATAGCTGGGCATTATGGGTGTCTGTGTATGAGATTTTGCCCTAAGGAAAGTTCTATGACTCAAAGATATGCATCAATCTGGGTTTTTTTAAGTGGTCCTTGCACGGACTTGGTTTCCTATTGGACTCTGCACACGGATTTCCTCTGGATCTGTCCAGGAGTGGTCTGGACAGTCACGTAGCCATTGTGCACAGGGTTGGCTCCGGATATGCTTGTGTTGATGCGAGTCCAGGTAGATTAGAGAAACAAAACCATAGACACGCATATGTGTATAAGAGAGAGTTTTATCTGAAGGGTAATTGTACATTAAGAAAGCATCGCAACCCAGTCCGGTCCAAGCCCATAAGTCAGATATTAGCCCATATATCCGATACCGATCTATAAAGTCCTCTTCAGCATCACGAAACACATGCAGTGATGCCAAATTCAGGATGGTCACAGGCCAGTGGGTAGAAAGTCTTTGGATCCAGTGGCGTTGTAAGCATCTCAGCACTGGCAGGGGTCTCTGTGGCTTCTCTGGCTTCAGAGGTCTGGTTGCATCAGAGTAGGTCCATGTGGCTTCTCCAGTCAGGACTAGCGTAGTTCCATGTGTCTTGTCCCCTACAATGTCTCCTACGGAGTGTCTTGAGTGTCTCTTCCACCTCCAAGGAGAAAAAGCCAGATTTCCCAGAATCCTCAGGAGAAAGCCATGCCCACACAGAGGCCTCATTGGCTATGACTCGATTGACAGACCAGAGTCCACCCCTACACTCTTAATCCTCTCGAGTCCCGAATGTACACCAGGTTATGTAACTACCACACACACCCACACCTGCGATGTGACCACGTGCCGCAGTAGCTCATGTTTCTGTAGGGCTGCACAGGCTAACAAGTGCTTCCCTGTTGTTGCTGAAATGCATACAGCTATCCCCTCGCAGTGGCACCATGGTACTTGACCATCCCAACTATCATGGGACATTAGTGTCATCTCACTGTTTCAAATGCAGGTACTGGGATTGGCCATTAACTATGATAACCAGTACACTTTGAGGTCATTTCCTATATGTAAGCGGGAACTTGAAATTCACACACACCAGGGAACCCTTGTGGCACAATGTTTAAACACTTGGCGCTCACTGAAAGATTAGGGGTTCACACGCCCTTGGCAACTCTCTGGGAGGGAGAAAGCCCTCTTGGCCCATCCGTGAAGACGGAGGCTTGAAAAACCCACAGGCCAGCGTTCTTCTGTAACACGTGGGGTCGCCATGATTGGAATCAATACTTCACTCTGCCAAAATGTACTTGTGCAAACTATTGCAAATGGTGTGTGAAGCCAAGGAGCACTTTTCTTGCTTCTGCTACGTGGCCTTCCCCTGCTGACCCCTGGCAGCACTGGCCTCGTGGAGAGAGGCCTTTGGAGACCGAGGGTCTGGCAGGAAGTTTGCTATCTCTGAGCCCTTGGGTTGCTTGTCTTTTGCACTATTCATCTGTGAGCAGTGACAATGGAAATGCCCAACCTGTAGGTGAGCGATAAGGTTGAAATGAGACAGTGAGTGAGTCCCTGATGCACGCCATGTGACCTCCATCCCCTTAACTGGAACTTCTCTCCCCTCAGAGGGTTGGTGAGTTAACTGTGAACAGCTCCATTCCAATCAGCCATGGCCTCAGACACAGGACAACATGAATCCACATCTTATCTGGACACATCCACGTTCATCACTCACTTCAACACCCTTCCTACTTTCAT